AATATTATTCCTAAGTTAAAATGCTTGTTAAATTGCAGGGGAGAGTGGAGAGCTGCAAGTTTTTGGACAATTCGTTAAGTCAGAGGTGTCAAACATATGGCCACAGGCTGCATCCAGCCTATGGGATAATTCCATCTGGCCCACTGGGCTACTGGAAGTTGAGGGGGTGTCGCCACAATTTGGGGACCCTGAATCCTGCTGGCCATGGCTATAAGTGGCAGAAGGATGAACGCAAGCTGTGCCGGTATAGCCCAATGCACCTTCTGGCAGCCTGGCCTGCTGTCACTTGGCCCTGGTGCCACTGCTTAGTTTCATAGTGCTTAGGGTGGAAGGGACCTAAACAGATCATCAGGTCCGACCCCTTGCCCTGGGCAGGAATGAGTGCGGGGTCATAACATCCGTAATCCTAGTGGGGGAAATGTTCTGGTCCCTGTTCAGGAATATGGAGGCAAAGTATTCATTAAAGAGGTCAGCTTTTTCATTAGCTGCAATTACCAGATTGCCAAGCCTATCCTGTAGGGGCTCCACTTTCCTCAATGCCTTCTTCTTACTCCCTATGTATTTGAAAAGGGACTTTTTGTTATCCCTAATTCTGATAGCTAGCCCTAGCTTCGTCTCTGCTTTGGCCTTCCTAATAGCCTCTCTGCAGTCACGAGCAATGGAGGTGTAATCCTCCTTGGTGATAGGCCCTTGCTTCCACTGTTTGTGTGCCTCCTTTTTTGCCCTCAGGCATCCCTGGATGCTTTTGCCAAGCCATGGGGGCTTTTTAGCACTCCTGCCCCACTTGGTGTGCATTGGGACTGACTCTCTTTGAGCTTGGAGGATCATCTCCTTGAGGAACAACCACCTGTCTTGGACTCCCATCTCATTGAAGCTCTGAGACCCCAATGCCTCTCCTACTAATCTTCTTAGCTCGTTGAAGTCGGCCTTCCTGAAGTTGAGGACTTTTACCTTATTGCTTGCTTTCATCACTCTGCACTGGATAGTAAATTCCAGCAGACGATGATCACTGTCTCCCAGGTGGTTGAGTACCATCAGACCCCTCACCAGGTTGTTGCCTGTGGCAAGGACCAAGTCCAGCAAGGCATTTCCCCTGGTGGAACAATGCACCTTCTGGGTTAGGTGGAGATCCGTATCCCGGCTAGGAACCTATGTGAGCGGTCAGACCTGGCTGACTGCTCCTCCCAGCAGATGTCTGGGTAGTTTAGGTCATCCATGACAACCACATCCCTTGACTTTACAGCCTCCATGAGTTGACCTGAGAGTTCCAGGTCCAACTCATCCCCCTGGTGAAGTGGCCTGTAGTAGATGCCCACTATCAAGTCCCTTTCTCCATGACCCTGTCACTTACCTGGGTACTACTTGTGCATGTCACCTGGCTTGACGGCAAAGTGTCCTCATGTTCCCCTGCATATCCATCCCCTGGCTTGGTGCAGCAGTGCTCAGGTCTTGGCCCCTGGACCTGAAATGCTGCTGCTGACCCTTTTATTCCATTTCTGGACCTGCCACTAGATCTGCCACAGCCACTGACCCCACAGATCTGGCCAGAAGAGGATCCAGGTTTTTACAAAGTGGGGTGCAACAGCAGTGATTGGTGCTGCAAGGGTGGTTGCACTCCTTCCTCCCAGCCCCTTCCTTCTTCCCATCATCCCAATGGGGCAGTCAGACTGTACCTTAGGAGCAGCAGCCAGAGACTTTAAGTCATGGGAAAAAGTAAAAATTACACCTCCCCTTCTCCTCCATGTTTGGAGGCATTTCCCTTCCCCTCCTCTCTTCTCCTCTTCTTTCCCTTCCCTGCCTGTCTCTTCACCATCCCCCCTGTCCTGGGGATGGTCTCAGTCATGGGCAGTGGTGGTAGCCAGACAGGTTCTCCCTCCCTGCCCCTGATCTTAGGATGGAGAACACCCAAGGGAGCTAGGCAAGAAAGGGGAATCAGTCCTTCCTTCTGTTGTCACTGTCCTGGGCTGAGCCCAGCCCCTGCCCATCCTGGTTGGAGTGGGACAGGAACTTCCCTTGCCCCTGGGACAGTGGAGACACAGTGGTATCAGCAGGGAGAGGAGTTGGGAATTGGAGGGGAAAGGATGTGCCCCTGAGCACAGAGGAGGAGGGGAGGGGAATTCCTACATTCTTTGGGGACTTAAAGTCCCCAGCTGCTGTCAAAGCACCCCCTCTGGATCCACCCCTGGATCTGGCTAGAGAGGAGCCCCACAATCCAGGTCTGGCCTGGGGCCCAGGGTGAGTTTGACATCCCTGTCTTAAGTGACTCCTGTGTGAGGCCAGTTTGACTGGCTTTCCCTGCTAGCTAGAACTTGTACAGAAGGCGGTGTTTACTAATTTTGAGCATTCTCTTCCAAAAACATGCCTTATTTTTTGCCTCTGTCTTGGCAAGTGCAGTTTTCTCCTAACTTCCCCTCTGGGTAAGGAAGGAGGGGAGTGTCACTAGCTCCCTCCAATGAAAGTGGATTTTTGGTGTTCTGGCTTCAGCCCACTGCTGCTACCATACTCCAGGCAACTCTGGAAAGGTTCCCGTGCACCATAGAAGCAACCACTGCATTGTTACCTACCACTCCCCTCTTGCTGCTTCCATGGAAGTGTACGAGTAGGCCATCCAAAGTAGGGAGGGTGCACTCATTTTGTCAGTACACACATCTGTGCTTTTGAAATTAGTCCCCCTTCAATAATTTATCCAGAGGTAGACACTCTACTTCATCCTTAATGTTTACTATTTGGTAATTATAAGCAACTCAAACAGGGCTTTGTAGGGAGTTTGGGGTGCCTGCTGCTGTGAAGGCTTTGTTCCCTTAGAAGAGTCCTTCAGAGAGTCTAAACGATAATCTGTAAGTGGGCTTGTGTGCCTGCAGGCTCACTGTCTGGCCTTGCTCCCTTGGCCAGTCCTTGTAACAAAAAAAATACTCCCCAGTCTGAACAAATATGTAGAACATCCCTTTAGCCTTTCTCCAGTTGACAGGAAAGGACCCTTTTCCTTTGGCCCTTCCTAGAGGCAAGCTTTCTGGGTTCAGTCTGCTTCCTGCCCACAAATTGCTCCTTCCATCAGCTCCAGTTCTTTGCTCTTTCCCTGGTTGGGCTTTTAACTGTCAGCTAATCACTCACTGTTGGGCTTTTATTCCAGGGCTGGCTGACCCACTTACAGGGCCAGACCATCCTAAGAGGGGGCTTATGAAGGAAAGTGCTTTAGTGACAGTCAGAATAACCAGCTCTGCCATTAATTCTGGTGAAATTCTGTTTGTGGACATCATGTGGAGGAGTAATTACAATGCATAGTAACTGGGAACTATGAGTTTCATCCTGTGTGATGCTGATTCATAATTCCAGTATTAACTTCATGTTACTGTTACCAGATATAAGGCTTTTTAATTCCTCCCTTCCTCCTTCCCAGTCCTAATATAGATTCTGTGTACTCTATAATTACTATAATCTCCCAATAGAATCTCCCAAATGCACCCTGATCTTTCAAAAATGTAATAGATGTAAATGCAGACATAGAGATGCAGTAGATCCCATGGCAGCTGGTGCTCATAAATGCTTCACAAATCTCAGTGTACTAACACAGACTTGAACCATGCTGTGCTACAGGCAGCTGGACATGGGAGTAAGACAACTACTAAAGACTGCTTACACTTATGTTCAATGACACTCCCCATTCCCCACTATGTTCCCTTGATACAAATAGACTCAGAAGGTAGTGGAACAGATATGGGCATGGAATTGAATCTGCTTAGCCCATATAGTGTGTCACTAGCTTGCTAGCTTTGTGGTCTTTATCTGCTTTGTAGATGCCAGAACGGCCAGCACATATGTGACTATGTGGATCTACCAGCCGCCCTCCCAAGTATCACATCATCCAGTTACCCATCCATTGAGTGACTTTGGTAACAATCTGCAGTTCTGGGGAAGAAGTCTGTTTGTGGAGTTTCCCTGAATGCTGCATAGGTGTTTAGGAAGTGTGTATGATCCAGACACCTCTCTAAAGAAGGGTGCTCTAGCAAGTACATAAACAAAGAATGTGTAAGCCACATCCCAAGATTTCCTAAAGGACATTCCTACCCTTCATCTCTCCCTCAGTCTCATCCATCATCCAATGCATTTCATAAACCAAAATATGTTGGATAAACTCTTTCAAACTACTTTTTCTTCAGCATTTAAGTACTTTCTTCATACAGTTGCTCAGCAGCCAGATTGCCTTTCTTGCAACTCAAGAGAAGTCTGTGCAATCTTTGAGGAGTGCGAATGAAGATGATGACATGAAGGAAGTGCAAGGTTTCTCTTTGTATAGATACCAGATCTAAAGATTTTATCAGACTTCACAACTCACACTGGACTTCTTAGGCCTAATTCTGTAATCATTCAAGGTCAGCAACTTCTATTTACTTCAGTACAATAGCAACTGCTTAATTTGGCCCTCAGTCTTTCAAGGGATCATATTATCTTAAGATGCATAATTTCAAAATTAAGTTGAGATGTATCTTTATTGATATGAGATAAATTAGACATGGGAGTAATTGTCTTGTTTGGTGCTGGATTAAAAAAAGAGTCTTTAAATTTCCCCCCCCCCC